AAAAAAAAAAAAATCCTTACTACCTTTTCAAAATTAGCTTCAAAATTAGCTTATAAAACCAGAAAGGCTAATTTTAAAACTCTACTTAGCTTAAAGTCCAAACATCTCTTTTTTGAGAATGCTATGGTCCCATTACGATACCATCCTGTTGGATATTTTAATCGGGATACACATGTAGTTAGTATAAGATAGATGATCCAACAGTTAAAATATTTGACCGGATGGTCCCATTACGGTAGGTAAAAATTCAATTTTGGTCCGCTAACTTGTCCATTGTCCACTTTTGGTCCGTTAACTTGTCTCTCATAAAAAATGGTCCATTATGTTACATTTTTCATCAGTATTAGTACACTACTTCAGTTGGCGGGATTACGAGATGATGTGGACCGGGATTGGAACTACGTGGAGGGATAAAATGTTGACGTGGTAAGATAAAAAACTGATTTGGCATCTCGTAATCCCGGGCCACGGGATTAGCGTACTAAAACTGATGAAATGTGTAATATAATGGACCTTTTTTGATGAGGGACAAGCTAGTGTACCAAAAATAGACAATAGACAAATTAGCGGACCAAAATTGAATTTTTGCCCATTGCGGTACCATCCCGTTGGATATTTTAATCGGGATATACATGTAGTTAGTATAAGATAGATGATCCAACAATTAAAACATTTGACCGGATGGTAGGGGACCGTACCATTTCCCCTCTTTTTAACTCGCACCTCTCTTTAAACTGATCAATCAAACCTCTGATTGAAGCGCAAACCTCTCAACAATTGGATCAACACAATACTGTACGTGTGTTTTTATCCAATAGCTATATTGTCCGAGCTTTCCTCTTTATCAAACACGTCCCTTCGGAGACATCCGATAAAATTGGAACGATACAGAAAAGATTAGCATGACTCATGTGCAAGGATGACACGCATAATAAATCGAGAAATGGTTCCTCTGTACCAAACACTCTTTATTTTTTACTACTAAAACTGATACACATTTAAACACTATAAAGATTCCCGCCGCCGTTAGCAGAATCCGACGAGTCCCCACTGTTGAAATTCATCAACCCCATCCACTCATCGATCTCCTCTTTTCCGATCATAACTTCCCAAAAATCACTTTCATTATTATTATTATTATTATTATTATTATTATTATTATTATTATTATTATTATTATTATTATTATTATTGCTTGACCCAATTCCCAATTTACCTCCATTTTCCCGCCTAATCTTCTTCTTCTGCACTTTGGCAGAATCTTCCCGCGGCCGGCCGGAGGCTGACCCCTCCGCCGCCGCCTCCGGGACGGCCTCCATGTAGTCGGAGAACGGGAAATTGATCTTCGCCCTCGGCCCGCGGAACTCGATCGCGGCCCGATCGTAGGCCCGGGCCGCGTCCACGGCGTTCTCGAAGGTCCCCAGCCACACGCGGGCCGCCTTCCGCGGGTCCCTTATCTCCGCCGCCCACTTCCCCCACGGCCGCTGCCTCACCCCCCTGTAGTTCTTCTTCTTCCTCTTCCTCCCCTTCTCCGGCGCCGCTGCGCCCGGTGGTTCACCGCCACCGCCACTCTCCCCCTCGCCGACGAAGAAATTGCAGCCCAGGCACCCACTTATCCGGCAAATCCGGCAGGTTTCCATATCGCCGGAAACGGAGAGAACTCCGCCGCCAGAATCCGCCGGAGCTCCCCGGGAGGCTGCGCCGGCGATGACGTTCTTGAGGGCCTCTACCATGACGGAGACTTCTTCCTCATCGCGGGTCACGCGAGGCGGGGGAGATGGCGCGACGGCAGCCGCCGCCGCCGCCGCCGTGGAGGTCCAGGTGTTGTTGTCATCGAGCTTGACGCTTATGTTTGACGGCTGCATGTTTTGTCTGTTTGTGTTTGGGAGTGATTTTTTATTTTTTTTGGAGGATGAGGAAAACGGTCAAAGGGAAGTCGTATATATATGGGCTTGTGGGTTAGTCAATTGACGTAGGAATGGACGTCACGGCGGGCCCACGTCACTGCCCGGTCATAGGGTGGATTGCCAGCTCAGAGTCTCCGCACACTAGTTTTACGCGGGATTAATTACGCAAAAGGGTTTGATTTGGTGGGCACGTGGTGTAATTGCAAGGATAGGACCAGCAAATTGGTACGGCACCAAATTTTGTGGGTAGACGTGACCAGGTGCCGGGCCAAGGCCCGGCCCAACCTTGCCCGGCGGGACAAAAATTAAAAAAATAGAATCAGGACTGAACCAACCGCGGCCCTACGGTTTCGGTTCAACGAATCGGCCCCTTAGGAGGCTAGTTCCGGGCCGGGCTGGTGCCGGTTCGCGGGTCGGGCCACGGGCCGGTTCGACCCGTAGCCATGTCTATTTGTGGGATAGGCATTTTTTTTGTTTTTTTTTTTTTGAATGAAATTGATATTTCGCTAATTAGCGGATATTAATTATTTGTAAAAATATATTTAGTGAAAATAGCAGATTGATTTGGAGAAATGTATATGAAATTATTAACTTAAAAATTATTTGTATGTAGACATTTAAGAAGTAATAGACAAATATTTATGTACTATTTTTATATTATCTAAAGATAAGTATGGTACTAAATATATTTAAATTACACTTTCATGCATGTTGGTATAGCCGCAGCTAGACTAGACCTGGTGTCATCACCTCTTTAACGAGCGGGCTGCAGAGGTCGAGCGATTCTGTTTTAGTCCAAGTTCAATGTAGCCTTAGATCGGAGATGATCGAGATGCCTAGCTCGGTCACGCGCAGGTCAACCACCTCGATCGGACTTATAGATTCAAAGGTTCAGGTTGAGAACCAAAAGGTAGAATGCTCAAACAACTATTTCTTTTGTGAAAAAAGATGTTATACAAACATATAGCCATTTGGATCCAATATTTTAGGAATCACCAACCCGGCCTCTGGATTATGAGGTGATCTTCGAATCATGGCATAAAGTGTTGAATCGGGTTATTGATATTTAAAAAATTAATTTTTATATTATTTTTATCTTATAAATATAAAATAAATAAATACATAAATATTTTATATGCGAATTCTATACCTCAAAGTTTATTAATATTGTATATTGTCATAAACATTTATCATATAAATAGACATACATAAATAATCTCATTTTTAATAAGAATATATAATGTTCGGGTCAATTGGGTCAACCATGCATGTTGACTAGATCATTGTTACTCGGTCTAAGTGACCAACCTTCCTGGCTTCTGGTCAATCCGCCAGGCCGGTAATAGTAGAAAAAACATTGGTCGGTTCCTAACTGT